TGGATTTAATGTCGTCACGGTGTACGATTTTGTATGAACTTTTGGTTGCTATCAAAACACCGCCTCCATGACGATTTCGATCACGTCTGAGCACTGAGAAATTTGAGGGGAAAATTTCAGAATCAGCTATGGTAGAGTCTAAATGCGTTTCGGTTAGTATCACGATGTCTGACTGGTTACTGGTGATCTCCATGTGCAGTTTGTCGATCTTGTTTACAATACTACGGGTGTTCGCGTATAGAACAGAAAGTTTACTTGATGTGTGTGTATTTCTATACATACCGACGCTACTGACTTGTTCGGTGGTTAAGCTTGGTCCTGGACAGTGGTGTAGCCAGCCCGACAATTTAGCCCCGCTATGCAGATTCAAAATTATTAACATTATTCATTTCTTTAGAAATTGATTGTTTTCACAGTCAATGCACACGAGAATATTTGCATAGCGGGACTAAATCGTCGGGCTGGATACGCTACTGGTCCTGGATTAATAGCGATATCTCCAGCGATCAAAATAAAAATAGTAGCGGCAATGCCTGCCAAAAGTTGTACCGTCATTGCGCCGTCTGGAAGACAAATCGTGGGCTGACTCTATTCCATGAATGTCTTCAGTCCGATCCGGAGCGAGAACCGAACCCACAATCTCAGTAGTAAAAGGCGCTTGCTCTAGCCATAGCCCCACTGAAGCCCCGTGTAAAAATAATTTCGTAATCACCCTGTATATTTGGTATGCGTTTAGAGATATCGCAGTACAATATTACTTTATACCTGGTATACATTTCGAAATATCACAGTACTCCCATCTCTTGTGTCTATCTGTAGTAAAACATCAAGGTCGTTGTCCTGAGTTCTGAGGATTCCGACAATAATTCTCGGCTTTATTTAGTTCCGGATATGTCTTATTCATGGTATGACGATGAGGACATTGTTCTGTCTATGACTGACAAGAAATACCTGAGGCTGTCACAAATATGTTGCCATAGTAACCGCTGCCGCCTAAGTACAGGCAGTCTACAAGATAAAGTGGTAATTAGACAGACTGAGCGACTAAAACTCGATCCATTCGTGAATAGATAGTTATTAGCTATTATAATAATAAATTTTTCGGAACCTTAAACAAACTTTCTCAAAAATTAAAAATTTAACAGATTTCCCGACTGTGAAGCGAAAATTGCCCAACTTGCTTTGTTAGCCCAACAAACTGGGGTTATTATTAAGAGACATTTTCTTGTTTTGACTACTTTTTGCCCGACTTTTGCCCGACTTTTGCTCAACATTTGCCCGACTTTTCGACTTTCTAATCCTGTTGGGGGGGGGGGTTGCAGCTGCCCCCCTGCCCCCCCGCCCCGTATGCCTATGCTGAACGGTGATTGGCTAAAAGCCGTGTTGATATAACTCAATGTCAACACGGGAAATTTTCGGCCGTTTGAAAACACGGAAATTTTTCTTATCCTTCTGGGTTTTGACATTGCTATATTATAAAAAAAATATAAAACATTTTTTCCGTATTGATATATAGTTATATCAACAGTCGTGGAAGTTGGGAAAACTCGAAATTGGATGAAGAAAAAACCGAGTATATGCTAATCGGCTCAGGAAAGCGCTTAAAACAGATCAGAAATGACCCTATTATTAAAATTAGAGATCATATAATCAAACGGGTTTACAAGAAAAAGGTCTTAGGCTTAGAAATAGACGATAAATTACAATTGACAAAACATGTTGAAAAACAAACTAAAAAGATTTCTTGTTCTATAGCTATGTTACGAAAAGTGAAGCCTTACGTACCTCAAGCAACACTACAGATGATGTATAAGTCATTTGTACTCCCCTATTTCAACTATTGTTCAACTATATGGTATGATGGTAATGAAATGCACGCCGAAAAAATGCTCAAATTGCAAAAGCGTGCAGCACGGGTCATTACCGATCTTCTGAAATTTTTCAAATGCTCAAATGGACAAAAATACAATCAATACTAAAAAAGCGAGAAATAGTGATGACATTTAAAGCACTTAGGGGTATGGCTCCAGAATACTTAACACAGATGTTTCAAGTCTCCGTTAACCAAACCTACCAACTACGAAATTATCATCAAAAGCTTTACCTACCAAAACCTAAGACGAATTTTTTAAAACGAAGCTTCTCCTATAGAGGAGCAGTTTCATGGAACCAAATTCTAATGGAAAAACTTCCAATTACAGAAATACCTGGAACTTCCATCAGTTTTTTTAAAAGACTAATAGATGGCTTGTGTTTTTGAATTGGGAGGTATTCCTGCCAAATCATATCAAAGCTTTATGCCTTGCCGATGTAAATAGAATATATTATGTATGATTGTTTTTTTAGTTAATAATTTTAATATTCTTATAATAATTTATAGTAAATGTGCACGGCCCTTTGAAAAACAGATTTCTGAAAGGCTACCGTGAATAAATAAGCTTAAATAATGATGGAAACTTTATTACTTTCAATAATATATATATACACACTACAATGATAAACCTCTCTTTACAGGTAGTTTACCAGTGTCTACTTGAATTAACACTCTACATAATAACAATATTAGTATGACATTAGTTGTGGGTTATCCCATTCTTTGTTACGCTTACAGAATATATAATACGAGGACCTGATACATATGTTAATAATTTTCCGAACATAGTACTTTCTACATTGTTCATCAAACTTTAGATCCTTCAGCATTTCGGTGAAATCTAGCGACGGGTGGCTGAAAACTCCTAATGAGCTAATCGGTAAATTTACAAATTTCACTTTTTCATAATTTTTGAGCTGTTCGTTAATTAGATCTTGATATTTTTGTCTTTTTCGAGTTGCATTAGTGAGGAGATTAGATTCAAATCCGACGGTAAGTTCAAGTATATAAATACATTTGTTTTCAAGTGTTATCAAAAGATCAGGGCGCAATTCATCTCCGGTGAGAACAGATGGACTGATATAGCCAGGAAGGTCAGCATAAAGGTTACAATGGTTCACAGATTTAAGTATGGATGCTATGAAGTTAAGCACCGAATCATGACGCCACGTGAAACGTCCTTCATTTAGGTAGGTCTTGCATCCAGCGACGACATGAAGAAGTGATTCTGGATTCAAACAAAACGAACATTCGGATGTTGGTGATATTCCCCATTTCAGAAGGTTTTTGCGAGTCGGAAGAGTGTTATTTATATACCGGATAGTGAAGTTAAATATATTCTTCGGAAGTTTACTCTGAAGGGAGGACCATATAGAGTTGAATGAGAGTGTAGAATGTTTAATGATATTGGAGAAAAATGAGCCTTGTGAAATGAGGTGGTGTTGAAGCTTGTCTTCATGATGTTTCCTGATGGTGTTTAATACGTCCTTGGTGTTTTTGTATTTGTCATATTGTACATTTTTGTGATTGCTAGTATCCTTCCAAAGGTTATTGATCGCTTCATTTGGCGACGACTTTAGGGCTTTCCGAGAAACAGTTTGGCATTGAAGGAATTTGGTTGAAGGTAGAATGATATTTAATCCAAATTTATTGTGGGGAAGTAGGACGTTACTAAGGGTTGCAGAAATAGGAAGTTCAAGCCATTTCCGGATATACGTGGACGCGATACTATCTAGTTTATCGTTAACCCAGGTTTTGCCTATGTCAGAAACAGTGAAGTGCCAAGAGATTTTGGAAAGCACATAACGACTGTATAAGAGAATTTTGTTTTTCGGATGTAATGGTAGATCATCAATTTCATTCAGGATATTAGTGAGTGTGTCATATACTTCAGATTTATGATCTTCGTCGGACATGTTGAAATCAAAATAGCGACCTAAGTAGCGAAACGATTTACCAAGTTCAACACGTGGTACAAGACAGTTATTTATAAATAGTTTTGGGAGATATTGAATAGATTTGGTTAATTGTTTCCTAATGCCAAATGTTGAACATTTGTCTACACGTATTATCATTTGAGCCCACTGACACCAGATTGTAAAGCGATTGAGGAGCATTTGGTTTTCTTTTTCTTGGCCGCTAACAATAGCCGCGTCGTCGGCAAACTGGAACCAATGAAGAGGATTTAATGGGGTACCGTTTTCGCTGGATTTCCAAAATCCAAGTTGACGGTATTTTTCCGATTTAATATGTTGGATAAAGGTATTGAAAGACATGTTGAATAAAAGAGGACTAAGACAATCGCCTTGAAGGACGCCACAACCGACTGTAATGAAGGAAGTATTGAACTGTTCAGTTATTATGGAAGTTTGGAAATCAGTATAAAGGGTACTGACAAGATTCTTTATGTGATCGGGAATGTGGTGATATTCAAGGACTTCATAAATAAGGTTATGGTGGACTTCGCCGAATGCATTTTTGAGATCTAATAGTGTTATGATAAGTGATCGTTGTTTTACTCGCGCTTTATTAATGATATGTGCCAACTGTGCTGTGTGTTCTAGTGTTCCTGAAAGTTTTGGAGTGAAACCTTTCTGTATGTTCTGTTCAATGTAATTGTTTTCTGCAAGAAACTGAAATGTCCTGTTGCGAAGACATGATGTGAAAACTTTGAGTGGGACAGATTCGAGAGTAATGGGTCGAAAGTTCGCTGGGTTTGCTGTTTCTGCTTTCTTATGAATTAGAATCGTGCATGCTTTCTTCCATTCGGATGGGACAACACCGCAAGACCAGGCTGCGTGGATTATCTCAGTTAAGTACGAGCGTAAATAAGGACAGCGTTTAAAACAGATGATAGATATTTGATCAAGTGGGCATGGTGAGCCAGACGGTTTCATTTTACGGATGACATTTGTAATCTCTTGATAGGTCGGGGGGTCAAGATTAAAAGGCGTCTGAGGAGATGCAAATTTTGGGATCCAACTGGGGATGTTGAATGTTTTAGTTGGGCTAATCGCGGACAATGTTTTGGTAAAATATGATGAACATTCTGCTAGGTTAAATGATGGAAATGAGCTAGTGTTCTTTTTGAAAAATCGTTTAACGAAACCCCAGAAACTTTTACCAATCAGACTGTCGTGATCAATATTTGCAGACGCATGACTATCAGTGTTATTTGGGTCTGTAATATTAGACCAATCAGACTGTCGTGATCAATATTTGCAGACGCATGACTATCAGTGTTATTTGGGTCTGTAATATTAGACTTATTAAGAAGGTTGCGCAGTTTCTTTGCGACAAACTTGATCTCCAAGATATCTCCGTTTTCTAATTTTAATTTCTTTAATGAATTTTTCAAATCTTTAGTTGAAAAGCTTTCATATTTTCTTTGGTATTGAACATCATTATGATTGTTGACATATCCAAAATTCTCGCTGAAATAGTTATAGACGACTGTTGCCATGGTGTTAATGTTATTATTTAAATCCCGCGGTGTGATTGGAAGATTTGAAAAAGTTAGTTTGAAAAAGTCGTTAGCAGTTGACCATTGTAATGGCGATTTGGGTAGTTTGATTCCTTTTTTTAAGTCAGGGAAGTTTTCTTGCGTGTTTATATGTGATATTTCAGGGTTAACTGAGTCTACATTATCCTCATTCTGATGTTCATTTAATACTTCCGACATTTGTTGTTGTAGCTCGTCTTCAAGGTCATCAATAACTCTGCAGCTTCGTTGGTGCATTTTAAGACCGCGCGCCCCTTTGCAGACTTTACCACAGCAACATTTAACAGCCTTGTAAGATTTAACCGGCAAACCTTCTTGTGAAGGGATTTCTATAGCAGGAATAGCATTTACTCTGGTTTCTTGCCCATATTCCACTTTGCTTTTACAGCGCCACGAGTGACGGCCCAACGATACAAAATCCTTGCCACAAAATCCACATATTATTAGCGTTGAAAACAACGCAAGCAAGTTTACACGAATCATTGATTAATTAGAAGTATAAAAAACCAAAATATGACGTTAGTACGATCAATTCAAGTAAAGTTTTTCGTTGAAACTAAGGACATGTACAGAGAACGTGTATACGCCACTGCTCGATTTAAAGTTTTTTTTCTTAAATCTCTTTGATCTTTTCTTAATATTTCGTGCTATGTTATATAAATATTTGTTAAATTTATCTAAACATCGATTTCCCACTATATTTCTACCCGCTTTGGAGAGATATTTCGTTGTTGTTTTAGCATGCGATGGAACAAACATATGGAAAAGATCAATCTAGACATTAAAATCTGATCACGATGCAATAAAATAGCCAGTATAACTTAACAAACTAAAATATAACTCTTTCTACCCAGATGTTTTCAGACATTGTGCGAGAAAAAAACCGATTTTGTCAAAGGATAATAACATCAAATTTCTACAAATTTTGCCAGACATTTACTTTCATATTTTCAAAGTTAAAATCGAAAACTTGCTATTATATTACAACTGAAACAAAATTAATCAATGTTACAACTTATTCTTTGAAATGTATTAATAAAACAGACGGAAAATACATGATTCTTTCTCTGGTATAATCTGCTTCTTTTATCGGACGGCGAAAAACAGCAAAACTTTGCCTCGCACGACGCCAAAAACAATGAAATTTGAAGTAAGACTAAATCTATGAACAAGTTTAATAAAGATTTACATAGTCAAAACAGAAATATTGAAAAAAAATGAAGAGATTACCATAAAAACGCGTCTCAAACACTGAAATTCATTTTTCGCATTATAAAAATATAGCAGAATGATTTGTTTTTTTTGCATAATAAGCTTCGTTTTCGTGCAGTTTAAGGCGCGGTCACTAAGTTTCGCAATTGGTCTATAATAATAATAACTTGCGTGTTACAGGTATTGTACCCAAAAACCACACATAAAGCACATCGCTATAATTCTTTTAAAATATACTAAATTTAAAGTGAGTTCTTCCTGACAGTTCTCATTTATTGCTTGTAATTATTGTAAAATATGTGACCTGGTGAAATTGCGTGTTTTTAACTCTATGTACCCCAAAACCCACATGCGCAAAAAACTCATGTAACTTTGTTTGAAATATAATGTTATTATAACACTATTCAAGGTTTTTCGACTAAACACCAAATGCTTTGAGTAACAATCATATTTCGCAAACTTAGTCGGCTTAAAGTTTCAGATTATACAAGTTACCAATGGGCCCGTTTTTTAATTTTCAGGTAACAGATTTTGGTAACTAGTGCGAAAGAAATTCTTCCAAGCGTTTCTCTCGCCAGAAAAAAAATTTCAAAAGCTTACGCGTGCATAGGTATACCAAAATGGTACATCATTAGTCAACCGCCATGTTAACTTCTACTTAATGACTGAAAATGAAGCTTGTGGTTTTTGGGGTACCTTGGTTTTGGGGGTACATATACCTGTAGACTAATGTTTGATCTAGGCAAAAAAGTAAATTCCCGTAAAGAACTTATTAAAATTACAAAATTTGGTTACGAAATGTTGTAAAATATGGAAAATATAGCCTTGCGAAGTTTGCATATTTTGTATATGTTTGTTTTACGTGCGGAAATTGTTACCATTTTTGAGCCGAAAATGGTAACAATTTCCGTACGTAATACAAACATATACAAAATTTGCAAACTTTGCAAGGCTATATATATTTTCCAAGTTTTACAACATTTCGCACCAAATTTTGCAATTTTACTAATTCCATTATGTTCTTTTTAGCTGTGCTCTTTGATTTCCTTCTCTTTACTTAGATTAAAATTTAGTCTAACATGCAAGTTGTCAATTTGTAGATAACAAAAAATCTACCACAATATTCTTAGATGGATCATATTATTAATTCTAGTACAGGTTAGATTAATGATTTGCCATTCCTCCTAAGGAGAGTAAAGTGATGAAATAGAGGTTTATAGAGTTCTACTTACTTGCACCAAGAGGAATGATTGTTTCAGATGTATCTGTCGTTGTTTCTAATAATAATAACACAGAACGTTCCGTCGATGATTTGCTTTCAATAGTATAGGAGAACGAAATGCTGCGGTGTTGGATAAGATTAAACTGGAAGTATTGTTGACCATATGCATACGAGGTGAGGACGGGGGGGAGGCTGGGGAGTGGGACTGTAGCTCCCCCAATATTTTTTTGTCGGGCGATTTGTACTTGGGCAACTGTACTTAAAAAAATCGGCTAAATGATAGAAGGGAAGAGCGGGGCGCTTTAAAATATGCTTCGTTTCCAAAATGTCTTAAGGCCCATTTCCACTGTGATTGGCCGACACAAATTTTCCGTTGTTTTTGAATATTTTCAACTTTTAACAATCATATTTTCGGAAAATTTTCTGTACGTGGAAGCCTTTAGTGTATGTTTCGGGCAATTTTGCACCGCCCGTTCCCCCATTGACAGGAATTTTTGGAAAGGTTTTCGGGTCGAAATTTTTTTTGCAATTTCAAATGGTCGGGCATATTTTTGACCGACCCCTAATTCTTTCCTCTCATACGCCTATGGTAAGAATTTCATATAGTCAAATATGTTTGTTTTTTGAAAATACTTTCCCTACAGCTAGAAACGTGGAGGTCTACCAATTCGTCTTTTATATAATAGAATATAGCCCGAACACTTGCATTAAATATTTTGAAAACAATGAATGATATTCCATAATATTTCAAACAGGTTTATTTTGTGTTCTCATTATACGACAAGCAACGTTGCCAAACGTTCGAACAATTTAAAACGTTTTACACGACATAGGGAATTGTAGAATTGTTTTCAAGAGCGTATGATATAGAGTACATACCTGCTTTAACGCAAATCACTTGTTGACAGGTACATTTACTATCAGGGGGGTCTGTGGGAACGAGTATTTTCTTTCGGACCAGTGGAGCATTACATACACTGATTGGACGAGTAGGACACAATTCTATGCAGGGAACCAAGCCTTCTTCATTACATGTACATAGTCTTGTACATTGATAATTTGTATACTGTTCGCCAACCTTCAATAAACGACCGTTGGGTAGTGGACAACCTAAAAAAATAAACAATACCGCATCAATCCATTTCTTATGTTCACTTGTGAATTTTGTTCACCAAGATGTTTATGACTTTCATATATTTTCAAAATATTTCGGTCAGTTTGATTTGTGAATGATAGATTTTTGAAATGCTGAAAAATTATGACGGCAGTGTTCAATATAACAGTGGCCATTGGCCATTTTCCAAGCAAACCGCGAATATGTCCGTCTCTTGCTCTTGACGGACATGAACATATGTCGCAAAACCAAATCGTAATTTTTTTAGGAATCTGTTGCCAATTAGCCTTACATAGTTGGGTGAGGTAGAATTTACAGTAACTTTTATAATGAACTACGATTTTAATATGGAATTATTTTCAACTTCGTCAATTTGTTGAAGTATATCGATCAAATGAATTTCTGATATCATATTATATTACATATTGTCAGATCAAGCATAATTCAGAATTATTTTAAATTGCATGAAAATATGAAATTAACCACTGAAAACCGAAAAAAAACTTTCTGAATAAATAGTCAATGTGTAATCATGCGTGAGAATTTGAAATATCATAAATTACAAATTGTTTTAATTTAATTTAAATTATATGCTGATGCGAGGTTAATGTATTTGGGTGTTTATGGATACCTACTGTTGTGGAAAAATCAATCTGGTCAAGGCATTAAAAAATACTAACCATTATAAGGCACGGATAACACAGTTGCTGTTTTTCGTTTAGTCGTTGGAATCCGAATGAGCCTAATCTCATTTTTACCATTCAGTGTGACACGTTGTAATGATATTGCGTCGTAAGCCATAAATATTAAGGCATCAGCTCTTCTTACTTCCAAATTGCGCGACATAACTTTGCCTGGGTCTAGTCGAAGGAATTGTCCCGATGGCTGGAAACTTGTCTGAATGAAGATTGCTTGTGTGCGAAGATTCTTTATGGTGAAGGAAGCAAAATACGGCCCTAGAACAGAAATAAATAATCAATTATACATACATATATTATAAAATTTACGAATTTCGCATCTTTGAAATTTTAAATTCGTTTTGATCCACTGTTATAATGAAACAATCGCAGTTCACATTGCCAACAGAGATTCAAAATCTCTGAAAGAATCGACTATCTTGTGAACAAGAGCTAGTATTAACGACCGGAAATTGCACAGTAAAATGGCTATGTCGCTGTTGCATGCAATCAAATTGTAAGTCTAAAATGCTCTTACTGTAATTATGCTTGAGTCACCTAATATTGTTTTTGGGACGCTCAGGTAGATTAATGCATGGGTCAAGTTTCAGCCAAGGTCGAAATATGGGTATACCAAGTTGGGCGCGATTTTTAAAAAGAAAACAAGGTTAAGTTTAGCCTGTCATGGTTTAATGTTATAGATTTTGACCTGGTGAATTTTTTACTGATTTTTACTTTATTATTCGTTTTTCACATGAGCAGTTATATAGCCTAAAACGTCAATAAACACAGGTTAAATGGAAACCCATTGCGCGGACTCATAAAATCGCTTTCCCCAATTGCCATTTTGGTTTAATGTTGTACATAGCATCTTGTACTAAACGAATCTAACTTGCTTTGTTGTCCAGATGGCTAAACAAAGTAAATATTTTGCGTTTTATGTCAATTTATTCCGTAACTGTGCGTATTTATTTAAATATATTTTGAATATTCGTGTTAATGTAGGTATATCAAGTTATGACTATCAAGTTTGTGTTGTGCTTTATCTATTTAGCATAAAATTATCGTTGCTTATGTATTGTAACCTTGTCCGCAAAACGGGCGAAAGTAATAGTTTGTATCAAATATAGAAAGAAAGCTATCGCCATTAAGCCGTATTATTTACGACCAGCGGGAGTCCGCATTGTCGATTATAATTAGTTGCGCAAACGCAAGTCAATACAAATGCAACAATTTCATGTTGTATTTCATATTATAAAGTTGTAGTTTCATATTTTATTGATAAGAAATAATCAAGACGATGTTTGTGTACAATATAAACATGAAATCATGGGTATTCATCGCACTTGTATGGACTTGCAGTCTTGCGCAACTAATTATAATCGACAATGCGGACTCCCGCTGGTCGTAAATAATACGGCTTAATGGCGATAGCTTTCTTTCTATATTTGATACAAACTATGACTTTCGCCCGTTTTGCGGACAAGGTTACAATAGATAAGCAACGATAATTTTATGCTAAATAGATAAAGCACAACACAAACTTGATAGTCTTAACTT